GCAGGTAACGGTCTGGCATTTAGGCCTCTCCAACAGCCTGATTCCTCGAGGGCTCAAATCATATCTCTTTCATCTCTATATACCTAATATCTAGAACAGGAATCTCAACTTTCTTTTTTTGTTTTTTTTTTTGAGATGGAGTTTCGCTCGTTACCCAGGCTGGAGTACAATGGCGCGATCTCGGCTCACCGCAACCTCCATCTCCTGGGTTCAGGCAATTCTCCTGCCTCAGCCTCCCGAGTAGCTGGGATTACAGGCACGCGCCACCATGCCCAGCTAATTTTTTGTATTTTTAGTAGAGACGGGGTTTCACCATGTTGACCAGGATGGTCTCGATCTGTTGACCTTGTGATCCACCCGCCTCGGCCTCCCAAAGTGCTGGGATTACAGACTTGAGCCACCGTGCCCGGCCTCAACTTTCTTTCAGATAGGTAAACTAGTCACTGAATGCAGGTTGATTTTCAGGGACTAACCTACACACAGGTAGTTCTGGTCTAAACTGGGTTCACAGCTATTCCCAACTGGGGAGCCAAAATCTTGAAGTCTGATTCTTTCTCTTGTTGAACAGAAGAGGGGATGTGCAAAGATGACACAGCTCCTTTCCGGATACCAATTCAGAGGAAGAGGATGGGAGTTACATTGACTCTCAAAAGGGGCCAAGAGACCCACTTTCATACTCCACAGATCACCAACCACAATGCAACCTGCTATAACAGGGGGATTCCCTTTGACAAGATCAGGCCAAAATTTGATCATGAGGCTTTTCCATGTGAAAAGGGGGTGTCAGGATTATTCATGAGAATCTGGGGAGGGCTCCAAACGCACAAACTAGCTGTGGGCCACAGAATGCTTGCTCAGCTCATTAGCACCTGCTGCTTACAGTGACCATTCATCCAACAGACTGGCCGTGAACAAGATGATGGGATCAGCGGGTTCATGCCCCAGAGAGCTTTGCTCATCATTAACATGAGCTACGTCCTGTTCAGGAACCATTCCTCTTGTTGAAGAAACACTGAGATGTAATATGATAAACACATCCCCATCACGAGTGGAGATTTGTCTAGAAAGATCTGTATAAAGGTGGCTGCATTTTGCATAAATCACATGCTGGGGAGGGGTAGGTAGCATTAAAAACCAGTCCCACTTAAGCCTTCGAGTCATTATGGCATATGTGCCTGCTTCTCTATAAACCTCAAAGGCCTGTGACCTTGGGCTTTCATTGTTTAAGTCCCCTCCTCCTTTGCAAGGGTGGAATTACCTGTTTATAATGCCAGCGATTACTATGCACCTTGGAATTGAGTAGAGTGTGCTCAGTATGCATGTTTAGATTGGAGGGAATTACTCTACCTTCAAAGTCAAATTCTGCTCCCCTTTCATTTAGAAATCATGCACCTCAGCCTCTGGAAAGTTGGGAATAGCAGCCAGAAGGAAACAAGTCACATCAGTTTGGCTGATGTGAGAGAGGATCCTAGCCCTGGAAACTCCACACAAACTCAGAAAGAGAACATTACGTCCCCACCTCCCACACGTCTACCTCATCTGTTCTCCTGAACAAGCACAAACAAGACACAGTAGTTTAGTAGGCTACTACTGAAAGAGTGAGTAATGGGCTTCTAGGAAACAGGCTGGTGGTGGCTAAGGAGCTTGTACTGATAGAACCAAAGGAGGAAAGTAGCAGCCATGTGCTTGCCTTGATCTGCTTTTAATAGGGCTATGTCTTCACAAAGAAAAGAGCCAACACCCTGATCCTGCTCTCCTATACTTTTCAAAAGGCACAGGGAAGTCCCCACCTACAATCACCAGCAGGCTCTTGGATAACCAAAGCTGCTAGGGTTACCTAGGAACCCTTTTGGGGATCTCGTCTGTCTGTCTTTCTTTCTCTCTCTCCACCCTTTCTCTGCAAACTCCTCTAATCCAGAAAGATTCCTGGGTTTGTCTCACATAATCGGAATGCCTGTTCCTTCAGACTTGTCCTTCCTCAGCAAAACTGTGAACGAATTCTACTTCTCTTTCAAAGCTGCTCTCTGGTCTCACATTTTAACCTTAATGACTACAGAGAAGCTGACAGAACCTGTTTCCATAAAACAAACACAGTCCTTCCCAGTTACTGGTATCACTCAGTATATTTTCAGCCTAAGATTCTTTCTAGTACCTGATCTGAAAGGGGAGGTAGCACAGAAAGAACCTTGGACTTGCTATCAGAAAAGCTGCCACTTACTGGCTGGGAAACCATAAGCAGGTTACTTTATTTCTCTGAACCTCAGTTTCCTCACTTTCTAAAATAGGGGTTTATTTTCCTTACCTGTAAGATTCATATATAAGATTAAGTGAAATAATACTCTTGAAAGTGGCTGACATAAAATGTGTGCCAAATACATGCAGTGCCTTCTCTGAGGTCTAAGCCAGAAGGCCTGTCTCTTTTTCCACAGAAGGCCTGAGTAGTACTTCTTTTTTTCCTCTTTAATGTTACTTCTCAGGCCTCAGAACGAGTTTCCTTCCTTTCCCACTGTCTCCCACAGAATGCAATCTTCCCCCTTTCCCTCAAAACTAACCTTCGGCACATTCCCCTTTAAAGAGCCTCTTACTTTACCGCCCTCCAGGCACCATCTCCTGGGCCAGAGTTCTCTCTTGCGCAGATAGCCACTTTCCTATACCCTTTTCTATTATTAGGGCTCCATATCCCAAACAGGAATGCTTGCTAAAAACTCTGTACAGTCCTCTTTGGAACCTGAAACTGAGACATACTTCCCCCCAGTCTGTCCATCCCCTGTTATGTGCTATGATGCCTGCTGCCCTCTGATGAAACTATAGTTTTATGGTGTTACATCATCTCTATAGAAACTGCGTTCTTTCTCCATTATTAGCCTGTTTCCTCATCTGTAAAGCTAAAAATACTTACCTCACAGGCTTGCTGTAAGGATTATTTTAGTGAGGTATGCAAAGGGCTCAGCACAGGGCTTGGCCTGCTAGAAGCACCCAACAAAAGAGAACTATTATCTTTGTTTTTGTACTGAGTTGCATGTTCCCACCTTCTGCTGCCACACTCAAATTCTCCAACTCCCCGCTAAAAAACTGTTGAGAGATAACACTCTGCACAAGGAAAGGGTTAATCTTTGAGTGTTCTTAACTAAAGAGACCCACAGAGGATTAACAGCTCCACTTCAGTGACTACCCTAAAATAGCTTTTATCCTCCTGCCCAAGAGTTACTTGGGGATCTGAAGAACTCAATTCAACACCTGCCGGAGGAAATAGACCCGGAACGTTCCTTGGGGTAGAATCTTCCCTTAAGCAGAACCCAAAATAGCAACTGGGAAATTATAAATAGACTTAGAGGAAAGAAAGAAAAAAAACCCCAGATCCTGATCTGGGAATCAGAAACAAATCCTAAAGACACACTGGTTGGCTGAAAAACAGTGAGAAAAGGGGAAATGGGAATGCTGTCGCCCCCCTCCCCCACGTCGCCCACTCCAGAGTGGTGGGAGAATTAAATTACAGGGAGGCTGGAGAGTCTCAATGACTTGCATCATTCCAAGAAACATCAAACAGGATTAACAGGGGTTGGATTTACTCTCAGGCTGCTAATTCTTCTGTCAGTGTAGATGGGCCCTCTTTGGAGTCCCTTTGATTCACTATTTCCTCGGATTCCTGCTGCCTCCCACTCCTGGGGAGGCCTTGAACAAATGGCTGCAACTCACCACAACCCTATTTTCAGGGGGGAAAACCTGATTTGGCACCCCCGCCCCTCACCTTAGGAGAGAAGGGCTAGAAACCCAAGGCCAGACTAACAACAGTCCCAGGCTGACAGGTGGAAAAACACACAAGCCAGGAGACACGCTATGCTTGCAGGTGAAAGCACCAATTCCCCGACACTGTTGTCCCCGTATCCTCCACCTAACAGGGCCCTTTCTCCCCACCAAGGTGGGCCGCAGCCTGGATCCCAGGCCAGGTTTTAGACCACCCCACTGTGGTGTGAGAAAGGTTCTCTCCCGGGGCCTGGGAGGGATGGGAGTGGAGGGCTGGAGAAGCAAGGGAAATTCAGGGAGAAGTCTGGAGGGAGTCTCCGGGATGGGAAGGAAGAATGAGGATGGGAAGGAATCATGAGCAAGTTTCCTGGGTCTCTAAGGGAAACCCACAAGAATGAGATGGGGGATTCTAAGGGTTCGAGGGCTGTGAGGGTTGGAGATAGTCAGAAGTGAATCCTCTGAATTTCAAGAGGGTCTCAAAATGGGTAACGGGATGGAAGATGTTGAAAGCTTGGGAGTATGGTCACTGAGGAGGGAACCGCGGTGGGGCTTATCCGAGTTCTCCAGACCCAGATATTTAAGGGAAGCCTCAAAGGGGGTTATGTAAGTCTGGAAAATGAAACAGGGTACAGAGCGGGCTATCTGGGGCAGGAAAGGGGGTTATGTGGGTCTGGGTAGGCGTGTCGAAGGGAGGGAGCAGGTGCAGCTTATCTGCGTCCCCCAGACCCGGGTCCCTGGTAAGGTCAGCGCGTTATCTGGGTCTCCAGGGAGTCTGGGGGCCGGGAGTGGGAGACCCTCAGAACTGCGTCTTTAGGTCTCGGAAGGGAAGGGGCCAGTGGCTTCCTCGGGTCCCACAGACACAGGTATGGGTCCAAGGAGAGATTTCGTCGCCCCGGGGCCTATCTGGGCCGGGTTGGCGCAGACCGGGCCCCGGGTCGGGGATGTAGGCGACCGCGCTGAGGGGCCCAAGAGGAGGGGCGCCGCCGCTCCGGGTACAGGGCGCGCGGACGTAGCGAGACGGCCTCCCGCCCCGCTCCCCGTCGTCCCCTGAGGCCCTCGTCGGCACTCACCGCGCTCGGGGCCCCGCGCTGCGGGCCGGGCCGCGCTCGGGCTCCGCCAGGCCCGCTCAGGCCCCGGTAGTGGCGGCGGTCGGGCCATTGTGCGGTGCATTGTGGGAGCCGCGCGAGCGGGCGCTCGGGTCGTGGAGGGGGCGGTGCCGCGGGATCTCTATGGTCCCGCCCGCCTGCGGGCTAGAGCGGCCGGGGCGGTGCGCGGGCGGCGCTCAGGGACCGTCGGGAGCGGGGCGGACGCTCGCGTCCCTCCTTCCCTCCCCGACTCTGGGGTGGCTGGCTCCGGCTCCCCGGCCGACATGGGCGCCGCCGCGTGGGCACCGCTGCTGCGTGTGTCTCTCCTGCTGCTGCTTCTGCCGCTCCCGGGGATGCCTGCAGGCTCCTGGGACCCGGCCGGTTACCTGCTCTACTGCCCCTGCATGGGTAAGGCCTCCCGAGCCCTCTGCTCAAATGGAGGAACTGAGGCCAGGATAGGACAAGCCACTCCTCTGATGCGCCCAGAGACACCTTCACAGGTCCAGGAGAGAACTCAGAGAGGGTCAGAGCATGCTCTTCTCCTCTCTGCCCTAGTCGCAAGGGCACAGAGGGACCAACGTGTCCAACCTTCCATTTGACAGATGAGAAAACTGAGGCTGGGAGAGGTTACGTGACTTGCTCGAGGACTATGCCAGCCCAGGGTCCAGTACATGGAGTTAGTGGGGCAGAACTTGATGTCACTGACCCACGCTGGCTCCTGGTGTTTCCTTCATTCATTCAGCAAATATTTATGGGGCACCTGTTCTATGCCAGGCCCTGTTCTCTCTGCTGGGAATATGCCAGTGAATTAGACAGGCTTTCCCCGTGTCCGTGTAGAGCCTTCACTTTAGTTGGGGAAGACAAACAATAGAGAGTAAGTAGGCCAGGCGGGTGGCTCACTCCTGTAATCCCAGCACTTTGAAAGACCGAGACAGGAGGATCATTTGAAGCAAGTTTTCTAGATCAGCCTGGGCAACGTAGTGAAATCCAATCTAAAAAAAAAAAAAAAAGCTGAGTATGGTGTCATGTGCTTGTAGTCCCACCTGCTTGGGAGGCTGAGGTGGGAGGATCGCTTAAGCCCAGGAGTTCAAGGCTGCAGTGAGCTCTGACTGTGCCACTGCACTGCCAGCCTGGGCGACAGAGTGAGACCCTGTCTCAAAACAAGCAAAACCAAAAAGGGATAAACATTTAAAAAAAATAAGTACATAGTTTCATAGAGGATGATGAATACTAAGGAAATATAAAGAGAGTAGGGTAAGGAGAATCTAAAGGCCATGCCAGCTGTGTGGTGGAAATGGCTGTGGTGGATCATCATTGTAGATAGAAGTGGAGCATCATTCCTTCTTAAGGCCCCCAGTGGCTTTTACACTCCTGACCATGGCTTTCAGGGCCCTGCATGATGTGGCCCCCTCTGGCCATCTCCGTAACTCCCTTCTCTGTTGATCCTCCAGCTGCAGCCACACTTAATCTCCTTTGCATTCCTCACACCTGCTCAGGTCTTCAGCCTGTGCTGCTGCATGTGCCAGTCCCTATGCCTGGAACCCTCCCCTTCATTTCTGCCTGACCAGCTGTTTCCCATCCTTCAGGTCTCAACCTAAATGTCACTAGAAAGGACTTAACTGACCTCTACCCAAGTAATCTCATTACCCCATCACCAAAGTTTTTTCATCTCTTTCTGGCAATTGTCAGCATTTTTCGTGTCTTTGTTTACATATTTATTGTCTCCTCAGTGGACTGTGAGTACCTTGAGGGCAGAGGCCTTGTCCTTCTTGTTCATTCCTGTATCCCAGCACCTAGCACAGAGCCTGGCACATTGTGGCCTCTCAATCATATTTGCGAAATGAATGAACTGATGCCAGGTTGGGGTTAACAAAAGGAATCACACAGGCTTCTTGCCCCTGAGGCATTCATAGGCTGAGGAATCAGCCAGTACAAAGGCCACAAAGATATTTGAGGAAAATTGAAGAACTGAAGTAACTCAGAGCCAAGTAGGGGGTAGAGGAGGGAAAGGGAGTATGGCAAGGGATTGGTGAAAGGAGCCCAGTGAATGAGGCATTCAAGTTGCCACTCCATGTGCAGGTGAATGGAGATAGAGGTGGAAGGGCTCTTCTGGCTGAGGGACAAGAGCAGAGGCATGGGGTGGGGATGGGAATTGTAGAGCATGTTGGGGAAACAGCAAGGAACCTGGAGTGGTGGAAGCAGTTGTTGCAGGACCTGAAGATATCAGACTCAAGAGTCCAGACTTGTTCTCATGCTGCCGGCTCCCCTAGTTCTCCTTGGTATCCCTGACTTTCTACCCCTGGCTCCACAACTTTACTGAGCTCTGCATGCTCTATGCCCTCCCTGCCCCTGGCCTCACCTCACCCTCAATGTACCATTTCCAGGGCGTTTTGGGAACCAGGCCGATCACTTCCTGGGCTCTCTGGCATTTGCAAAGCTGCTAAACCGCACCTTGGCTGTCCCTCCTTGGATTGAGTACCAGCATCACAAGCCTCCCTTCACCAACGTGAGTACCGCTGACCTTGGCCCTTCTTCGCCCTTCCCTGGTCTTGCTTACTTAACCCTCCAAGTCATCTGGGCTTTACCTCCCATTCCTCTGAGATTGCCCTACCTCCAGCCAGAACTGTCTTCACTGAAATAACAATGTCTAACATTTATCCGGCACCTGCTGTGTGTGGCTGCATGAGAATTACCTGATTTCACCCTCCTCGCTTGCCTGTGAGGAAACTGGGGTTAGGTAACTTGCCCAAGATCACACAGCCTGTGAGTAGTAGAGCTGGAATTCAAAGCCATCTTTGTCTGATTCCAGAGCCTGTGACTTGAACCTAAAGCCTCTGTTTCCATCCCTGATTGGCCCTACCCTCGGTGCATTCCATTGGCCGAGAGTGGTGGATGCTATTATCAATTTTAAAGGAGACATGGAGGCACAGGTCATTTAATAACATGTCTGAGGCCACGACCCAGGCAGTCTGGCTTCGGTGCTGCTTCTCACCCCATCAAGGGGCTCCCTTGTCATGAGACGCTCAGTAGCCTCCAGTTCCTTGCTTATTCTTTGCATCTTCCAGTAAACTGGTGTCTGTTCATATTGTATCTCCGGAAACTTAATTAATATTTGATGAATTGACTTAATAATTCTTTAATAGACATCAGAAATTATACTTAGTATGAACAAAACACTTAATTTCATTCTTATAACCTTTTCTCTGCCTTTTATTTTTTCCTTTACATGTCAATATTTACAGAGATTTTTGAACAGAGGTTAAAAGCCAGAGTACCCGAAATCATAGTCTGACTTGGTCACTAGTTGCATAGCCTGGACAGGGTATTTTACCTCTTTGTGCCTCAGTTTCCTCATTTTTTAAATAAGCTGGTAATGATTCTTGTTACTATCTTGTGGTGAGAACTGAGTGAGTCAGTGACAGTAACATGCCTTCAGTGTTGTCGTATGCCACCTCCCTCTTAGAATCAACTGAGCTCATCAATGTACGAGCCTAAGACAGAGCAAGTCCTTACTGGAAACCAGTGATGTTCTGATAATTTCGCACTCATTTTTTTTTTTCTTTGACACAGATTCTTGCTCTGTCACCAGGCTGGAGTGCAGTGGCACGATCTTGGCTCACTGCAACCTCTGCCTCCCAAGTAGCCTCAGTGATTCCCCTGCCTCGGCCTCCCGAGTAGCTGGGACTACCGGCACATGTCACCATACCCAGCTAATTTTTGTATTTTTAATAGAGACGGGGTTTCGCCATGTTGGCCAGGATGGTTTTGATCGCTTGACCTCATGATCTGCCCGCCTCGGCCTCCCAAAGTGCTGGGATTACAAGTGTGAGCCACCGCGCCTGGCCTCATACTCACTATTGGAGTGTAGCCATCTCCCTCTGGCTTGCTTGCCTCTGTCTCCTTGCCTTCTCAAACAGTTGTCTTTCCAAGTCCCCACTTGCTTGCTTTCTACGGCTTACTAACCTGCCCCAGCAAAGCTCTCCTTCACCACTGTTAGCATTCTCACTGAGGTCAGCAGTGACCTCCAAATTGCCGGGGGTTATTTCTCAGTCTTTCTCTCACCTGACTTCCCAGTGGCACCTGATCCTGTGAGCCTGACCTTCCTGAACGTTCCTGTTCTAAGACACCACCTGTCCCTGCTGTAATCTAGCCTCTCAGCATTTTCCTCTTTGCCCTGTATCAGGGCTCCTTTCTTTCCACCCACTGTTTAGATGTTAGTGTTTCTCCTCTTTCTGTTTGCTTATTAGCTACGTGACCTCAGATGTTATCTAGATCCTGTATGCTTGGGTTTCTTCATAAGTAAACTGGAGATGGTTATATTCCTACCACTTAGGATTAAATGAGTAAATCTATGTAAAGTGATGAGTGCAGCACCTGGCACTGTGTCAACATGCAATAAATATTAGTTGCTATTATTACCATTACTTGCTTTGCTATAAATACCTGTTGACTCTGTGGCTTTTACTCTTCTCCATATACCTCCCAAATTTATCTGTGGCCCAGATTCAGATTCCCCTCTGATTACAGGCCTGTGGTTTTTTTCTCTTTTTTTTTTTTAATTTTTATTTTGAGACAAGGTCTCACTGTCGCCCTGCTGAAGTGCAGTGGTATGATCATCACTCACTGCAGCCTCCATCTCCTGGGCTCAAGCAATCCTCCCACCTCAGCCTCCAAGTAGCTGGGACTATAGGCACCCGCTACCACACCCGGCTAATTCTTTGATTTTTAGTAGAGACAAGGTCTCACTGTTTCCCAGTTTGGTCTCAAACTCCTGAGCCTAAGCAGCCCTCCTGCCTCAGCCTCCCAAAATGCTAGGATTGCAGTGAGCCACTACACCCTGCAGAAATTTATTTTGTTTGTTTGTTTTTCATTTTTGATACATACACAGTCTCACTCTGTCACCCAGGCTGAAGTGCAGTGGTGCAATCTTGGCTCACTGCAGCCTCCACCTCCCAGGTTCAATTGATTTTTGTGTCTCCACTCCTGAGTAGCTGGGTCTACAGGCATGCGCCACTATACCTGGCTAATTTTTTGTATTTTTAGTAATGACAGGGTTTCACCATTTTGGCCAGGATGGTCTCGAACTCCTGGCCTCAAGTAATCTACCTGCCTTGACCTTGCAAAACGCTGATTACAAGCGTGAGCCACTGCACCTGGCCAGAAATTTTTTTTTTCATGGTGGAGTCTTGCTTTTGTCATCCAAGGTAGAGATGTCATCCATCTCAGCTCACTGCAACCTCTGCCTCCCAGGTTCAAATGATTCTCCTGCCTCTGATTTCCCAAGTAGCTGGGATTACAGGCACATGCCACCATGCCTGGCTAATTTTTGTATTTTTAGTAGAGACGGGGTTTCACCATGTTGCCCAGACTGGTCTCCAACTCCTGCCCACCTCAGCCTCCCAAAATACTAAGATCATAGGCATGAGTGACCGCTCCCAGCCAGAAATATTTTAAAGTCTAGAAAAATACACCAGGCGCAGTGGCTCACACCTATAATCCCAGCCCTTTGGGAGGCTGAGGCAGGTGGATCAACTGAGGTCAAGAGTTCAGGACCAGCCTGGACAACATGGTGAAACCTCAGCTCTACTAAAAATATAAAAGTTAGCTGGGTGTGGTGGTACGTGCCTGTAATCCCAGCTCCTCAGGAGGCTGAGGCAGGAGAATCACTTGAACCCAGGAGGCAGAGGTTGCAGTGAGCAGAGATTGAACCACTACACTCCAGCCTGGGTGACAGAGCAAGACTCCATCTCAAAAAATGAAAAATGCAAAGATGAATACAACCACCAACCATGTACCTACTATTAGAGTGATAATCATTAATGCTTTCTTATCTTTGTTTCCTCTTCTCTTTTTGTTAATCAAATAAATAAAGCATTAAAGATAAAGTTGGTAAAAAATGAAGTCTCTTTTTGGCCCCTGGGGCTAGTCCTGGTCCCTGAACAATTATTGTGGATGTAGTGTATTTGGTGTGACTCCTTTAAAGTTCCTTCCTATACTTTCACTGTGGCACTGAGCATCCTGGTACCCATCTCCAGGTCCAAAGTGGAAGAACTTCTCTACTTCTCTACAGCATATAGTTAGGAGAAAAAGGTAATTTTGTTTGTTTGTTTGTTTTGTTTTTTGAGACAGAGTCTTGCTCTGTAACCAGGGTGGAGTGCAGTGGTGCAATTTCAGCTTACTGCAACCTCTGCCTCCTGGGTTCAAGCAGTTCTCCTGCCTTAGCCTCCTGAGTAGCTGGGACTACATGTGTGTACCACCATGCCCAGCTAATTTTTGTATTTTTAGTAGAGATGGGGTTTCACCATGTTGCCCAGGGAGGTCTCAGTCTCTTGACCTTGTGATCCGCCTGCCCCAGCCTACCAAAGTGCTGGGATTACAGGCATGAGTCACCATGCCTGGCAAGAAAGGTACATTTATGAGAGTCTCACTCTGTGGCCTAGGCTAGAGTACAGTGACACAATAATCATACTTCACTGAAGCCTCAACCTCTTGGATGCAAGGAATCCTTCCATCTCAGCCTCACTAGTAACTGGGACTACAGGTATGCACCACCACACCCAGCTAATTTTTAAATTTTTTGTAGAGACAGGGTCTTGCTATCTTGTCTAGGCTGGTCTTGAACTCCTGGCCTCAAGTGATCCTTCTGCCTTGGCCTCCCAAAGTGCTGAGATTACAGACATGAGCTACCACACCTGGTCAAAAGGAGCATTTTAAATTCTATTAGCTATTCGCCAATTGCATCCCAAAATGGTTGCTCCAAAATGTAGACTTCTGCTACCAGCCGTGTACAAGAGTGCCCATTTCCCCACAAGTTAAGCTTTTCAGTTTTTGCCAGTCTCATGAGTGAGAAGTAACTGATGCCTTGTTATAATTGTAATTTGCTTTTTCCTGATTACTAGTGAGGTTACACGTCTTCTGAGCGTGCTTGCTATTTGGGTCTCCTTTGCTGTGAGTTGTTTACCCCTAACCTTTGCCCATATTTTCTCTTCGCATCATTTGTCTTTTTTTGATATCAGCAGGGTTGGTTTTTTTTTAAACACAAATATTGTTTAAAAAAAACACCTGCTGATACTGTTTGTTCTTTAGCTTGCACACTCTCCTCTTAGCCTATCTCTATCCTAACCTTGGTGTCCTTTGACGGAAACTTTTCATTGTCATGTTGTCTGAATTGTCTTGGTCTTGGAGTGTTTTTCTTTTTTTTGAGATGGAGTTTCTCTCTGTCATCCAGGCTGGAGTACAATGGCACGATCCTGGCTCACTGCAACCTCTGCCTCCTGGGTTCAAGCGATTCTCCTGCCTCAGCCTCCCAAGTAGCTGGGACTACAAGTGCTCACTACTATGCCCAGCTAATTTTTTTGTATTTTTAGTAGAAACAGGGATTCACCATGTTGGCCAGACTGGTCTCGAACTCCTGACCTCAAGTGATCCACCCACCTTGGCCTCTCAAAGTGCTGGGATTATAGGTGTGAGTCACGGCGCCTGGCCTTGCATATTTTTTTTTTTTTTTTTTTTTGAGACGGAGTCTCACTGTGTCGCCCAGGCTGGAGTGCTGTGGCACAATGTTGGCTCACTGGAACCTCTGACCTCCAGGTTCAAGCAGTCTCCTGCCTCAGCCTCTTGAGTAGCTGGGGTGCCTGCCACCATGCCTGGCTAATATTTTTGTATTTTTAGTAAAGACAGGGTTTCACCATCTTGGCCAGGCTGGTCTTGAACTCCTGACCTTGTGATCCACCCAAAGTGCTGGGATTACAGGCATGAGCCACCGCGCCCGGCAAGTGTATTGTTTTAATAAATGTCTAAAGTAGCCATTGGGACACTGAGGCGGGATCTCTGCTTCTCCTTTTCCTGTAGCTCCATGTGTCCTACCAGAAGTACTTCAAGCTGGAGCCCCTCCAAGCTTACCATCGAGTCATCAGCCTGGAGGATTTCATGGAGAAGCTGGCACCCACCCACTGGCCTCCTGAGAAGCGGGTGGCATACTGCTTTGAGGTGGCAGCCCAGCGAAGCCCAGATAAGAAGACGTGCCCCATGAAGGTGGGTCCTGTGGGTTCGGGGGCCCTTTCTTTCTGTTCCATGTCCTCTGGGCCCCCGAGACTATGTCATGGCAAAATGTGGGGAAAGGCACAAGAAGGACTTAGGGTAGAAAGATGGAGATTTAAGTCCTATTTCTGGTATTTATTAGTGGAGCGGCATCACCTTGGGCAGAAGACTTTGCTTCTCTGAACCTTCATTTCTACCTACAAAATAGTGATGCCAGTCCCTCCTCTGTCTCACTTGTAAAGTGTCATGAGGGCCAGGTGAAAGAGTGCTTGTAAACTGTAAAGTGTCAATCAGTAATAATAGCTAATATTTACACAGCACTTTATATGTCAGGTACCATGCTAAGAGCTTTACATGTATCAACTCATTTAATATTCACACTGTTCCATGAGGAAAATACTTAGAATATCCCCACTTCATAGATCGCTGAGGACAGCACAGGGAGGGTCAGTATCTTTCCCAGGATCACATAGCAAACAAGTGGTAGAGCTGGGATTCAACCTGGCACTTTAGAAATAAGGCAACCCCCACGTGTCTTTCGGTGTATGTGGTAAAGTCTGGGGAAAGTGGTTGGAAGAGGTATGAAATTTGAGAAAGGAGACCTACCTCACAGCCTCAACACTGCCCTTTACTTGCTGTCTAACCTTAGGCAAACATCTGACCCTCAGTGGGCCTTGGTTTCCATTTGGAAAATGAAAGCATTGAATTAGCCAATCTTGAATGTCTCTTGAAGCTCTAGTCCTTGGTTCCAAATCCAAAGTCTGCTTCTCCCAGCCCCTCATCAGTGCTGCAGGGTCAGCAGGATGTGATACATGAACAGGAAAGACTCCTGCTGGAAACCATAATTGAAGCCAAGGCACTCTCCTTAGCCCTTGGCCCAGGAATTACAGAGTGACATTCCTCCTAGGCCATCCTGTGAGAGTGTTTCGGTCTGAGTCAAATCACCCAGGTTCCCCCACCTACAGTTCCTTGGTCCCATCCCCAAATGGCTTTCCCTCCCTGTCAGTAAGCCTTCCACCACTCTCTTTCTGCAGGAAGGAAATCCCTTTGGCCCATTCTGGGATCAGTTTCATGTGAGTTTCAACAAGTCGGAGCTTTTCACAGGCATTTCCTTCAGTGCTTCCTACAGAGAACAATGGAGCCAGAGGTACTTGGAGGGGTAGCATTGCTGGGTTTAGGGGAGGGGCGTGGAGCTAATGGGCATTCAGCACCTTCCTGGCACTCCCCCTGTCTTCCCCACCCTGATGTATGAGACCAAAGGTACAGGTGCTCTGTCTGTTGAACTTGGAATCCTGTGTGATCTTTTACCATCTCCACGCCTGACACGGTGGAACGTTGACCTGCCATGGGATTGAGAAAGAGTTTATCAGTTGATAAGGAATGTCATAAAAAGAACATTCGGCAGTCATATGAGTCTCAATTTCCTCCTCTAGGCGTGAGAATCACTCCTGTGTTACCTTATTCTTCACAAGGTGAAATTGGAAGCAGCTTCTACAGAACAGTTTCAGGTGCAGACTGAGAAATGATGTCATCCTGATAATTACTGGATGTGTTTATTAATTGCACTCCATTAGGCCCTGTTTAAAAAAAAAAATAGGTTATCAGGGCATGGGCACAGGCCATGAAACATTTATAGGGCATCTGTCATGTGTGAGACATAATGCTGCGAGGCCAATGGTGATGTGTAAAAATGAGGCTGACCTGGCCCTGGTTTTCTAGAAGCTGTGGTCTCGTAATGACAATAATCAACGTAGTGTACTTGTCCTTAATGCTGTAGCATGGCAGGAAAGATCGTGCCCTTAGAAAGCGCACATTGGTGCGGAGATGACATTGGTTTGGAGATGCAAGGAACATATTAATTCATATGTGGTCAAAGCACTTGGCGTTTAATAGGCCAAAGGTAAACAGATGTAGAGAAATGAGGCTCACACCTGTAATCGCAACACTTTGGGAGACCAAGGTGGGTAGATCACTTGAGCCCAAGAGATCAAGGCTGCAGTGAGCCATGATCGCACCACTGCACTCCAGCAAAGGTGACAGAGCAAGGGCCTGTCTTAACAAAATGAAACAAAAGCAAATAAAACAAGCACATTCCAAGGAGTGAGACAGTCCTGAGCCTTGAGCCAGCACTGATGGTATCTGCCTTGTAGTACATGAGGTACATGTCACATACTAAGCAACCAGCCAGTATTGGCTGTCACTATTATTGCTCACATGTTTTATTTTATTTAAGCCTTTGAGATAGTTCGTGAAATGGGTATTATTATTAATTTCCATTTTACAGGTGAGGAAACTGTGCCCAGTGAAGTTAAATAACTTCCCAAGGTCATTGAGCTGTTGAGTGGACAGCTGGGATCTGTTAGTAAATCTTTAATGAATAATAACAGCTAAGATTCAAGCCAGGTGCAGTGGCTCACACCTGTAATCCCAGCACTTTGGAAGGCCGAGGTGGGCAGATAACAAGGTTAGGAGTTCGAGACCAGCCTGACCAACGCGGTGAAATCCTGTCTCTACTTAAAATACAAAATTAGCCAGGTGTGGTGGCAGGTCCCAGCTACTCGAGAGGCTGAGGCAGGAGAATCACTTGAACCCAGGAGGTGGAGGTTGCAGTGAGCCAAGAGTGTGCCACTGCACTCCAGCCTGGGCAATAGAACGAGAGTCTGTCTTAAAAAAAAAAAAAAATTCATTTAATGCCTTCTATATGCCAGACACTGATCTAAGTATTCACATGTAGTGACTCACTTAATCTTTCCCTGAGTCAGTGGGTTGTTACTTTCGTCTATGCTTTTCACTTAGAGAAATTGAATTAGAAAGGAGTTAGATCCCTTGCCCAAGGTCATGAAGCTTGAAGTTGTAGAGCTTGGTTTTAAACCCAGGAAGTCCGAATTCAAAGCCCCACTTATTTTATATATTTATATTTTAAACAGGGTCTTGCTCATCTCCCAGGCTGGAGTATAGTAGTATAATCGTAGCTCACTGTAACCTCAAATTCCTACACTCAAGCAATCCTTCCCACTCAGCCTCTCAAGGAACTGGGACTGCAGTCATGTGCTACCACACCTGACTAATTTTTTGGTTTTGTTTTGTAGAGATGGGGTCTTGCTGTGTTGCCCAGGCTAGTCTTAAATTCCTGGCCTCTGGGCTCAGTGGCTCACGCCTGTAAACCCAGCACTTTGGGAGGCTGAGGCAACTGGATCACGAGGTCAAGAGATCGAGACCATCCTGGCCAACGTGGTGAAACCCCATCTCTACCAAAAATTACAAAAATTAGCTGGGCATGGTGGTACACGCCTGTAGTCCCAGCTACTTGGGAGGCTGAGGCAGGAGAATCACTTGAACCCGGGAGGCAGAGGTTGCAGTGAGCTGAGATTGGGCCGCTGCATTCCAGCCTGGCGACAAAGTGAGACTCCGTCTCCCAAAAAAAAAAAAAACTCCTGGCCTCAAATGATCCTCCCACCTCAGCCTCCCAAAGTGCTGGGATTATAGGCATGAGCCACTGTGCCCAGTCCCAAAGCACCTGTTCTTAATCACCGTGGATTAAATAGCTGTGCCCTTAACAGCTGCCATTTCCTTTCTGGGACTTGCCTTTGGACCTAGTTCATGTGCTACTGAGGATCCTCAGTTACAGCAGATTTAAATCCTCCTCATTGTTGATGCCAGAAAGCACACTCCCGTGTGTCTACCTGCATGGTTCTCCCACATTCACCTCTAAATGACCTGGAGCTATTGCCAGAAGGCAGACCTGCCCTCAAAGGATGGAGATTTGCCCCTATTGACAATATGCCAGGAAAAAAAATGCCACCAACTTTAAAAGCGGCTCCAAAAGCAAATTCAAAAAAGCCAGAAAAAGTACACAATCCTGGTAGGAAGAGAAAGGACAATGGTTGGGGGGAGTGTTGCTGAAACACTTGTTTATTGCCCCATAGCTTTGTTTGAGTTCATTGAGTTGTAAGAATTACATGAGGGTTTGAGGAAGTCTGTGCCTTACAGCCAAGTTTTTGGGAAAGGAAAATGAGTAGGGAAGATGAGGTCCCTGGAGGGAGTTTGAGGGAGTTACAATCTCTGGGCAGCTGCCTGCCTTCCTTCAACACATATGTAAGAAACACTTCCTGAGTATCAAGGGTTGGTCTGGATGCAGAGGATACAGGCCAGAATAAGCCAGATAAGGTCCTTGCCCCCATGGAACTCATAGTCTGACAGGGGAGATAGTGAATAAACTTTTACATTGGATAGTTCCAGAGTGACATGGCTCCTAGAAGGATGTAAACAGGTGGTATATGATTGGCAGGGCTAAGACCAGAAGGCTGAGAAGGAGCCAACCTTGTCAGAGTTGAAGGGAAAGTAGTTCACGGCAGGAAGTCAGGAGCAAAGACTCTGAGGCAGGAACAAACTTGGTGTAGTCAAGGGGCAGAAAGAAGGCAAGGTGGCTGGTGCGGAGTGAGAGGAGAATGGTAAGATGTTGCTCTTATCTGTTGTTGCATAATAAATCATTGCAAAACTTAGTAGCATAACAACAATTTATTATTATTTCTCATGGGACTGTGGGTTAACTGGGCTTAGCTGGGTAATTCTTTTGGGTTTTCATTTTTCCATTTTCTTTATGGAATCCCTGCTGTATAAAGTTTAAATTCAGGTCAAACATCTTATTTCTTGGAATGAATTACGTTTATTTTTGCAATGAATAGCCTCAGATTGGGTGGGAGGTTTCTTTCTTTTTGGAGACAGGATCTCACTCTTACCCAGGTTGGATTGCAGTGGCTCCATGAAAGCTCCCTGTAGCCTCAGCCTCCCATACCCAAGCGCTCCTCCCACCTCAACTCCCCAAGTAGCTAGGACCGCAGACACACACCACCATACTCATCTAATTTTATTTTTTTGTGTAGACAGGGTCTTGTCATCTTGCCCAAGCTGGTCTTAACTCCTGGATTAGAGTGAACCTCCTGCCTCGGCCTCCCAAAGTGCTAGATTACGAATGTGAGCCACTGTGCCTAGCCTAGAGATTTCTTTTTCAATAAAGAAGAAAAACTTACATGTAATTAATTACTCCTCCAAAAAAATTAACATTTTATGTGTATACCTGCATCCTCCACACATTTTTATACACACACACACGCACACACACACGCACACACACACGCACACACACACGCACACACATCTACACGTATTAGCTTAAAATGAAATCAGTATATATATAGTAATCAAGTAATTAATTAAGTAATCGAGTAATTAATTTCTCTTTTTGGTTGGGCACAGTGGCTCATGCCTGTAATCCCAGCACTTTGGGAGGCCAAGGTAGGAGGATCACTTGAGGCTATGCTGGTCAATATACCAAGACCTTGTCCCTGCAAAAGAAAAATTTAAAAATTAGCCAGCATGGTGGCATGCACCTGTAGTCCCAGCTACTGGGGATGCTGAGGCAGGAGGATTGCTTGAACCCAGGAGTTCGAGGCTGCAGTGAGTGATGATTATGCCATTGAATTCCAGCCTGGATGACAGAGTGAGACCCTGTCTTAAAAAAGGAACACCCCAGGTGGGCACAGTGGCTCATGTCTGTAATCCCAGCACTTTGGGAGGCCAGGGCAGGTGGATCATAAGGTCAGGTGTTTGAGGCCAGCCTGGCAAACGTGATGAAACCCTGTCTCTACTAAAAATATAAAAAAATAGCCAGACGTGGTGGCACACACCTGTAATCCCAGCTGCTCAGGAGATTGAGGCCTGAGAATCGCTTGAACCTGGGAGGTGAAGGTTGCAGTGAGCCAAGATTCTACCACTGCATTCCAGCCTGGGCAGCAGAGCAAGACTCTGTCTTAGAAAAAAAAAAGGCTTGACTGAGCTACATGTCCAGGAAGCCCCCCTCATGTCTGGCAGATGATGCCGCTATCATCTGGGAGCCAAGCTAGGGCCTCCAACAAGCATGTATACACATGACCTCTCCATGTGGCTTGGGCTTCTTACAGCATGGCACCTGTGTTCTGAGAGGGAGTATCCAGGGAGTGAGTGTTCCAAGAGACAGGAAATAGAAATTGCAGGCCCTCTAACAACTGAGCCTGGAAACCAGCACAGTGTCACTCCTGTCAGGTGCTATTGGGAGGGGGCAGAGCCCACCTAATTGGAAGAGCTTCAAAGACTGGATGATCACTTTTA